GAGCTATACGGCTACGAAAGTCGTTGAAATAAGATACTTTTGATAGTAACTACATAGTATATCCTTCCTTTTAGATAAAGCTGTCAATAGATTCAATGACTGGTTTATGTGTATTATGTTATAAATAGATATATAACTAAATTTCAAGTGATTTTGTGTGTTTACACGTCCTTAATTACATGACGTGAACTACTTATCAACATAATACGTGTAAACCAGCAATTACACTTGGAATTAAGTTACTACCTATTAATTTAATATGTAAACCCTACGATACAACTAATTTCGTAGAATGCTAACTGCGATTTCATTGTATTTTACGCCTTATATCCATTGAAACAACTCATTTTTTTACTTTCATAAACAAAGATTCACTATGCTCAGTCACCGACTGATAACTCGAAAAAATTATCATGTCACCCGAGGGCCTATTCTATTTGCCCTCGAGCGAAAATTCGAATAGTTCTTATAATATTGTTAAACACTTGTTCGTAAAAATTATCTTTTTATTAGAGGCAGTATCAGGTTTTACCTCCGTTGCGTCATAAATGATCTTCTTCTTCTTTTTAATTAATGGCGTTGCCCTTGCGGTTTTCGCCAGAATGCAGTGTTTCGGTCAGTTTAATTCATATTTTAATATTTTATAAACATAATGCGTTTCTTTGACGTCGTATTAGCATTTGGAAAATAGGCAAGAATACGTTTCGCAGAAATTGAACAGGGCTTCAGGTGTCATGTTAACATTGTTATAAATAAAATATCTCACTGATTCTAAATTTAAATGAGACACTGTCGATAGAAAAATAAAAGAATTAAAGTTTATATAAAACGATTTATTATTTAAAACTTACAATTGTAATTTCATAAAATTTAAGCATTACCAACATATTTATGATATCTTTTATACATAGTCACCATATTCGTCAACGTCATTTGACCGGCATTCCCTGCAAGAGCTCTGCGTAGGAATGCCATCGCGTGGGTAGTATCAGATACTTGTATCAGCAGAGCAATGCAGTTCTCTATGTGTTGCCTGACGTTTCTGTAAGGCACAGATCTTTCTAGAATCGAGCAAATGTCGCCAACTGTGTAAGCCGCGATGCGAGATACATACGCTTTCCTTTTGCATATTGATTGTGTTAACCTATAAAAAGAGACAATTGTTATTTTTTTATATATTAGACACGTATAACATAATAAGGGCTTAAAGGTAAATGTCGCTATAATGTCACTAATATATCTTATTCTATAGCTGGGGTCATGGCTAGAGAATTAAGTGGTCACACCCTAACAGCCAGTTGCACAAACGTCCATTAAGGTTTAATGACGACTTTAAACTCTAATGAAAGTTAAAATTGTATGGGTAATGTCACTTTAAACTAATGAGAACTTTAATGGACGTTTGTGCAACTCACTGTAAATCCCAAATTAAGTAGCTAAAGCACTTTTATACTGGAAATCTGAAACAACCAAGGTAACAACCAAAACCTGAGATGACTGTGTCCGTGAGAAACTTAGTATAAAAGTACATGTAGAATATAAAAGTGCAATGTAATCATCAACGTTCAGCCTGCGATGCCAACATTCGTAAAGATCTGTTATACGATGGGTGACCAAAAATTTATTATCTCGAGTTCAGTCTTTCGGAATACACAACGCACGTTAAGCCTTTGGTCCTAGCTGCTATTGCAGTTGTTAACAGCCACCAAAACGCACAGGCTCCAAGTTATGTTTTGGTCTGTTCTATCTGTGATATTTTATTATAGAGAAGCCCTTTGCCCTAACGATGTTAACATTAATAGGCTTAATATTAATAAATATCTAACGACGAACATACATCATCGCAATTTTATCAGTATAGTGCAGCAGAACCTTCCTCTTTTTACCTGACTGCAAAAGAAGGGTTATGTTAAGTAGCCCAAGTGTTCTTAGATAGGTAACGTTAAATAAAAAACAAATATGGCAGCTGTGCGACGCCATTATAATTAATGATAGTATTTGTTTGCTTCAAATACATACTACAATTTGGTTATCAAATTAAAGGGCTCAAAGATTAAAAATCTGCCTGAAAAACAACTAACTGAAAAGACTGAAGTCTAGATACAAATTTTATGCAGCACATACATAACATGCAGTCGGAAGCACGCACAATGTGAGAATAATTTGACTTATCATACAATTTAACGCTCCCGACTGCATGTTATGAGTGATTATGTATATATGTATATATAGCTCCAACCTTTTTAGTTATTTATTATTTTTCACGCAGGCGAACAATTTTTTTATGAAACACTAGAAGGAAATCATTGATAGAACTTTTCAAATTAACAGCCAGCAAATAATTCTTAGTTTTAAAACTCTCACATTCCTACCTATAGTCAGATAAGTAATTACTTATATAACTTAAGCAGATGTTTTTACCAAATTTACAAGAATTAAATGACCGTTAATAGTAAAAATATTATTATGATTTGCAGTTCTTATTTCATTCAAATTCTCGCCTATTTGTTGAAAAGCTTAAGTTTTCATATATTCTCGAGTGATCACTTCTCTAGACTATAGATACAAGTGTTATTTCCTCACTTCTCTATGGAATGCGCCATTTCTTCCAACTTATCCTCTATACTGCGTTCTTGTTCTGTTTGTGATGTTGATTTACAGCACAAGCAGTATATTAGCATCCTATAACACTGCATGTAACACGGCCACCTGGAATATAACAAGAATATATATAATTCTTAATGAAAAATACTTAAAAAATCCACGTTATCCCTGGCACTCTGAGATGGGACTCAAACCCATGACCTTTCGCGATCCGGGCGACTACTCTAACCACTGAGCTACCCAGGACCTAACAGGAGTGTCGAATTTTTCAAACACTTTTCGCTACTACAGAGCGTATTTTCATCTACGCTCAGGCAATCCACCCAAACAGCCGAATCCACAATATTTTTATTAACAAACTAGCTGACCCGACAGACTTCGTCTTGTCAAAAAGATTTGTAATGTGGCAGTTTTTTTGCCTACGTATTTAAAAAAATTCTGCGTGCCGAAACTAATACAAAAGAAACGCGAGTTTCGGAACGCGACATTAAACTCCTCCAACTATGTATTCTGTGCTCCAACGCACACACGCACATTGTTTTGATAGATATGATCTTTGACGTTAGGAACACACCTACATTGCTTAGACAACAGTGAGTGCTTGTAATTTAATATGAACTTTATACCATAGCAATAAAGCTCAAATTGACTACGTTTTAGTTACAAATCATTTGTATGGGAAAAAGAAAAGGGCTATTTTTAGGGTTTTTCCAGCAATAATTCTAATTTTTCTCGCCGTAAAAACCATCCTTGAACTTCAACGAACATTTTAAAAAAAGATTTGGCCAAATTGGTCGAGGCGTTGTTGAGTTATGCGCTTACCAACACATTTTGCGATTCATTTTTATATATATAGATATTTAAATTTTAAAATATAATCATAAATATAAATCTTATTTTGTCTAATGTTATAAATCTTTTTCGAGTGTCTTTTCCTTTTTTTACATATCAACCAAAGATGATTCATAAGTACAATAATAAGTTTATTTGAACAGATTATTTTGACTTTGATCTTATTATAGAATTTCACAATATCATATTCTATATTATCTTAAATGATATTTTTTAATTAATAATATATTCTATTAAAACAAATCACTTACCTATCTTCGAGTAATTCTTCTCTGGAGACCAGTAAACTGTTTAAAATAGCTATCGATCCTTCGAACAACTTGAAGAAAGCCGGCCAGGAAATTTCGCACCTTATACCGCTATTATTATGGCTCAATATGTAGTGTACCGTATGCTGGACTTCGAATATGCTATCCATGAACTTGTAGTCTAAAGTTATCTAAAATGAATAATCATTAATTTAAATTTCATTAGCTTTCCATCATTTTATATAAGCGATTATAGCGCTTTATATAAGCCATTTCTTGTTTAATTGACAGGCTAAATGGCGCGGTGGTAGCGTTCCTACTATTAGGCCGAGAGTCGTGGGTTCGATCCCCACCTAGAATAAACATTTTGTATACCCCACGTTGTTTCAGATATTTGTAACAAAAGTGCCTAAGCTACTTACCTCGGAATCGGATCAATAGGTGTGATGTTGTCCGATTTTTATTTAATTGAAGAAATGAAAAACATGTATCTAATATTTTTTCCTATTATCTGACTGACGGACTGAGAAATTCCTTTTTTTACCCAGTTATAACCCTATTGTTAGCCATACGAGTTAGAACTTACTGTATAACACAATATGTATATCAAAATTACCTTCTTAGCTGCCAAAATAGCTTCGGACAACGAACCCAAACACGTGTTCACCATTTCACAAATAGCGTCATCCATTTTTATAATTTTCAATTGATTATCATCGTAATCCTTTTGTAATTCAACAGTAAGTTTCTTCTTTTTACTCTTTATAATGACACCCAAATTCTCAGTTTCGAAATGTTCATGAACATAGTTTTTCAGATTTCTACTATTTTGGTACATTAATTTCGTTAGGGCAACACATTTGGGGCCGACTATGTTAGCCTTCAAGATTTGTGACCATAGATATTTAGACACTGTATGAGAGTTGAGAATCGTTTGTGATTGAGCTTCGCTTTTCAACATTTTTGGGGCCTGTAAATAAATACATTTTTTTGTACGATTAAGTGTACTGAAATGTTATAATTTTTTCAAATTTACATAAATTTATTCAATGCTTAACGTACAAAGTTAATTTTTAAATATGTCAAAAAAAATTATGAGCTTTCCTGTCGCTTACACTTTACAAATATGTGCAGTAAAAAGTTTAAAAAAAATTTTAATGATTATTTGTTTCCCAAAATTTGACATAATTTGTTTAAAGTTTGCATTGCGAATTATGAATGGAAAAGTTATCTTCTGTCTTGTTTCATAAATCATAAAATAATGAATATTGCGTAAGCACACGGCTTGCTATCTAATTGATTTATGAGTCTACCAATGTTTCTGAGTTTTCAAAGACAATTTCAGATTATGAACTTTTTAAAATAGGTATATATGCACATTTATAATATATGATGTGCTCTAACCTCTTCAAATTTGTATAAGAAACAAAAGTTATAAAACTTACCTCTAAAGTCGATAACGTACTTATATCTGCAACAAAATGTCCAACGAACCCATCCACAGATACCCATTCACATAAAAACTTTATCGTAACAGAAATATCTTCAAGTATAGATGCAGTATTCAGATATTTATTCTTTGAATCTGTTATTATAGATAGTCGCGTTTTAATACTATTCCAAATCTGAATGAATAATTTATCTTTGGTCTGGAATATCTCATGGGTTTCTAATTTTTTTATGTAACGTAAAACGGCATTCAAAAGTTGTATTGAAGATTCGACGTGTTGATGTTTCGTTTCGGGATTTTGTATTGATTGCATCTGTAAAAATTGGGAAGAAAAAATTAAAGCTAGCGTTATTTTTGCTATAAGATTTATCAGGTTAAAATGAATGTAATTTTAAAGTGCAAATAAAAACATTAAGTAATCTGCTCTGATATTAACATTTAATATGCCGATTACACATTGACAGAGATTTTTGCCAACCCTTTAAAATATAAATCGATTAATCGCTGGCCATTTCGTAGTTTGTTCTATTTTAATTTATTTACGTATTTTTTCGATGCAGAAGCGTGGGATAGAGCATAATGAAGAAGGTTTTAAGAATAGGACCTCATGATTCAAACATATACGAGTATATTACCGTTTAGTATTAAGTTGTATATTTATATTATTATTTATATATTATTGTATATTAATCTAATTCTGGAATATGTAATCAAAAACAGGCTAGGCAAGCTGTATTGCCTTCCTATCTGTCGCCATCTAGTGCAGAAACAAGGTAACACAAATAACTTGACAATGTTAAAACTTAAGTTAAAAAACTTTTTTCTTTCCTATACATTCTACACAATTTATGATTCTCAAATGTAACACGTCATGGGCTAAAATAGTATCAATTGAAATATTATCAAATAAGACCATTTACTTACAGCACTGTGTATGAAGTACTCCAGCCCAGACCATAGACAATCCAAGTTTTTAAGATCTTCAGTATCAGTCGACTCGCAATATTTTGATAACGTTAAAGAATATGCAGATATAGCATTTAATGTTGCCATTGTGCTGTCGGAAATTGCCATACTATCATCTGTGTTGCCAATTGCATCAACTGGAGAACTACTAGTCTCTTCAAAATTAACATTCTTGAAACATTCTAGCAATGACTTATGTAGTTTCTCTTGTAAATCAGCTAATATTGAACGGTGTGCACTTAATGTTATGAATTTCTTTTGCTTGACTATTAACGGTAATATTATACAAGTAATTTGGAATGCTGGATCGCTGAAAGATTCTATACTTGTGGATTTAAACTTTGATTGTTTTTTTAATAATAATTCAACTATGTTTATAACGAGATGTTTTTCAATTTTAACTCTCTTAACAGCTGATTCGAGCAAACATTTTATAGGAAGAAAGTTATTCGCAGTTTTAATCTTTAGACTAAGTAAATCTATCAATAATCTGTCTTCAAATGAAAATATAAATTCTATTGGAAATATTTTGTACAAATCAGGAGGTTGTGAAGAAAGCTCGAATATACTTTGCAATATATAATCTACGTTTCGTCTCAGTTTTTTTCGGCAATTATTTTTAATGGCTAGCAACACAAAGATGGCTAGCAACTGGTAATTTTCTTCCAAATAGTATATTTGTATGTGTTTTAAAATTTCCATATAAGTTGGTAGCTCGTTATCAACCTCATTCTCTTTCATGGATAGTTTTAAGAACAAATCTTTCACATCAGTTTCTTTCGCAAAAGTTTTAAACTCAAAACTAGACTTAGTTATAGCTTTAGCAAAATGTTCCGCATTTTCGAAGCACTTGAGTATATTTTTAACTGTTTCCAATAATAAAGCGTTCAGTAACTGTTTATTGTTACATACAGATTCCATTTTAAAGATATCCGCATTGGAGTCTGACAAAAATTTATTGATAACAAGTTTCGACACTTTTTTCAGTTGGTTTTTATCAAGATTTACTAATAAAACATCTGGTATGTGACTATCTGGTTCTAGTATTTGGGGAAAGTCACTCAATTGTTTTACTAAATAAGATTTGGTTTCTGATATTGATTGTCGACCATTTTCCGAGTTTTTGCTGTTTAAAGCTTCTATAATCATTGTTTTGATAAGAAGGATTTCATCCTGTAAATGTTAAAATGAAAAATTAAGTACAAAGAGCACAATAAATTAATCAGAAGGTGACATTCTGGAAACAAATTTGATCTTAATATCTACTTCAATAAGATTGAAAATTAATTGTGTAAATTAGCATAAATGTTACCAAAATGAAACAATGTATGCTTTAGTAAATTAACCTTCTTATGACATTAAATCAAATATAACCTCTAGATACATTGAAATAATGACGAAAATAAATCAAAGCTAGTACTTTTTTCAATAATGTGTATTTAAAACATACCATTAGCAATGTTGCCTCATCGGTGGTAATTTTCGCAATCAACTGCGTCCATTGCTGTGTCGTTAAATAAGGTAGGACAACAGACATGTCGAAAACTTCCGATGTTATATTGTCTATGTCGAATATTTCTAGTTTGGTGTTGCTATATTTTACATTGAGTAGTTTCAGATAAGAAAAGTTGCGGCATAACTTCAGAAATGAGAGAATCAACCGTGAATCCTGTAATATTATGGACCACAGATTAATATTTTTGTTTTGTATCATAATCTGGCTATAGTAGGCATAAAAAATATACTTTATTACGTACTGTAATGTATAAAGTGTCATCATCATCAACAGCCTTTTAATTTCCCCATGTGGCTTCCTTATGGATAGAATCTAATAGAGAGAATGGGCCATGACATAGCGCGTAGGCCCAGTGCGGACAACAACTGCAGATGCAGCCGGGACCAAAGGCGTAATGCATATGTGCTTCAGAATATAAATTAACTTGATTGTCTATCGAAAATAATCTATTAAATTAACGGTAGTAAGCTTAATATATATATCGTGTACTTAAAATTAAATAATCATGTATAATTAAAAGTACTTACACTATCAAAGTTTTGTTCAATCAAACTCTCTCCGAATTTTCTTAGACAGTTAGATTCAAAATCTTTGTATGACAACCAGAATTCCTCAGCAATTTGCAATGGTACAGTATGGTCAGCCATCTTGCAATACTTGAAGAAAGATGACAAAATGGCGGACATGACTTCCGTTATTATTATTGTTGATGGATCTGCAAATCATATTAATAATTAAGTAATAATCTTAATTACTAATTAGGATAGCCTTAGTCAAATAATTATTTACATAAACAGACAAATAATTTTACGTCCATGAACTAGGTGAACCCGTTTGTCAGGGAAAATAATGGAATACAAAACAAATAATACAACTACATGTAGGTAATTTATACATACAATACTCATTATACTCGCCTCTTTTCCCTTCAATTATAGCATGCAATCCGATATCTTCAAAGTCTTTTTGCAATGATATGAGTAAGTCTTTATTTTGTCGGAACATTAGTTCAGTAGTTAATTTTCCATATAAATCTACACTTTCTTCTGGTAAGATATCATAGGCAGTTATCATTTTATTTTTTGTTTTCGTAACATCCTCATTATTATCTATGGATTTATTGAGTTTTCTCTGTAAATCTTCCTGTTCAGTGTTAGTAGCGTCTAAAGACTTTTTTACTAACGGCAGAATTTTATTGAAAAAGATTGTGCCTCTGCCTAGTTTAAAATATGTTTCTAACAAAAAATTCATCATTTGGGTGTACGATGCCATGTCGCTTATACTCTTTTTTATGCACATTAGGCTTGGTAGGATCTCATCTATTCTTGTCTCGACCAAACTTGGGTCCAGTTTCAATGCAGTTTTTATTATTTCGAAAGTAACTTTGTCAGATTTCCCCACCAACTTCAGCTGTCCCATCATTACAGTCTCCAGAAATGACAAAAATGTCTTTTTCGTTTCAATTTTTGGTATGTTAACACCCAACGTGTCACTTAACCTTACACTTATATCCACTTCATTTTTTAATAGCACATCAAGCATTTTTAAGAATATATTTCTTTTGATTTTTCCACTGTTTTCATTAAATGTTATTGGATTCATATTCATTGCTGGTGTTACATAGTTTTGTTCCATTTGCAAACAATTAGTGACCATTACATAAAATGCGAATACAAGTTGACTTTCTAATCTATAACAACTGACAAACACATCAATAAAATCATTCAAAAACTTATACTCAACGCAAACTCTACCATTTGGAAACGCAAAAAATGTATCCATGATCTTCAAAACTGATTGAATATTATCACCTTTTTCAGATATCAAATCGTCAATGTTGTTTTTTCTTATTAACGTTTGAAGATAACTTGCAAAGAAAGACTTTTTATTCTTTTGAAACAGAATGTTTTCACAAACATTTATAACTGTGACATAATCAGTATCCAGATAACTGAATACAGTTTCCAAATTTTCTCCATCCAATAACATAATTATGAATTCTAATTTCTTCTTTGATTCCTTGTAAAATTTTACAATGTTTTTGAATACTTTCTGACTTAGCTCTATATTACATGGTTCTTCACATTTTAAATATTGCAATAAGGTAATAGATATATGCAAACATTCTTTGATGTTAACACTAAGTTGGGTTGATAACTTTGTATTTTCCAATAATGATAGCATGTGTTGTACATCACCATTTTGCAATGGGTTCTTATTCAAATACTGCGATGTAATCTGAAATTAATAAATTATTTTTATTATTTTATTGAACAATTATTATCCTGAAGTTGCCTGAAAGAAATTGCCATTTGGCAATAATTTTTCTATATTATTATACCATGTAATTTTGTGTAGTTTTCTTGTATGTATTTTGTGTAGATAGAAAAACTGAAATAAAATTGTTTACATCATTTTTTGGAGTTAACAGGTTAAACTGAACTTTCTCCTGTTGAAAGTAAACTTTGATAGTTCTGAATCGAACGCAATTTAAAAAATTCTGAACATAATGTGTTGTTGTAGTTGTACATTTTTAATCAATGCAATTAAAATTTTCTTAACAAATGATTTGTTTCTCAATTATCTGTGTATCAGGGACAAAACCAGTCATTACTGATAATTATGTGAATCTAAAAGAATCAATCTTTTCATAAATTATAATAGGCTAGTAGAAAACTTTTATTTAAAAATAATTAGTCATAAATTAATATCTGAGTAAATAAAAATAAATTAATATCTGAGAAAAAGGAAGTAACAGCATGTCAGTGAATAATATTTTCAGAGATATAGTGCTATGTTTGTGAAACTGCTGCTAGTTGGCTGAAAACACTTACAACTTCATAGCTGTTACAATGACAGGTGTAATGTTATACGTAACTAATTTAATGCCATATGTATTTTATCCAGTATATTTACCCTACTTTTGCAAGTTTTCAAAGACCAATATTTCTCAAATTAGTGTCATAAATTTATTTTGTTAAATATATTTAAGTTGCAATGGTTTATATATTCCGAACATGTAACTAACACCTGTATTTTTACTTGTAGGACACAAGCCAATTATACAGATAATTATAATTATCTGTAGTTCTAGTACTTATCGTATAAATATCATGATAATGATTATTATATAAAAAAATATTTTGATGATTATTAACCCTAAGTGAATGTAGTAAATGGGTTGGATTAAAATGCTTTTACCTGTATTATTTTGCTTTTGAATTCATTTGTCAAATCATCACTGATATTTAACCATCCTATTACATTTTTTAGTTCATTACTAGAAATATTGCTTTTCTGTGACAATGCCTGAAGCCATTCAGCAACTACACGTGCTTTAGGTGCAGATGGGAAATGATGGGACTGTATCACATTTTTTGCTAGGCATAACCGTTTTGATAATGGTATGTCTTGATCATCCAAGCGACGTTTTAGTTCTGAAATTACAAGAGTTGCATGATTAATTTATCTGTTATAAAAACAGTCTTATTTCGTAAGTATCTATTTATTTGTTTTGTCTGACATGAAAGATTTCATTGAAACTAATGTTAATGTTACATAAATAAATTCTCCCTTTTCTATTTGTTATGGACATTGCCATGACATTTTTATACTCGAAGTCTGTCTATTCTTAAATATTAAAAAAAAAAAAAAAGGATTTAGGTTAGTATAGGGTAAGATTTTGCGATAACTAACGTTAATATATGAGAAATACATTAATAAACCATGTACTACATAGCAAAAAGGAAATAAAAATAAATACAGATATAGTAATTAGTATTATTTTCATTCAAAAAGGCATTCTTAAATTTTAAAACAGATTTATAACCTCTAAAAGTTGAAATTCTATACGTTACCATTCAGTGGATTCAGGGACATTTTGGAATGAATACAGTGGATAAAAGAAAATACTTTTTTTTCACTACATGAACTTTTTAAGCTAGTTATCTATCAAAAATAATATAAATTCAACACGCTTTTGCAGTTCGTTTTGACACAAGCACAAAGTTGTGATTATTGCGTTTTGTTCTTGCAAACTTCCGGTTTTGTTATAGTTTCAAACCATTTAAAAGGTAATGAAACTAAATTTATTTTGTTTTAAAATTCTTGCAGCTCTTTAAAATCTTATAAATATATTTCGATAATTGGAAATAAGTCACAAAATATGTTAGTCTTTATCATTGAATTCATTAGTAAATATCAAAACGCAATCAGTCCAGTAATGCCATCTATTGTCGAGTAGAATAAGCAGAATTTAACTATTTAAACACTATTTGTAAATATAGTTATTTTTTTCCCTTATTATCTCATAACACTTGTAAGTACTTAAATAGATAGGTATATAGTTATCAAATTCTTTTTCTTTCTACTCAAGATTTTACTATTTTCCATTTTACAACACAATAACACAATGTCATATGAGAACAAAGAACAAATGAAAAGTAAATGTTACGAGAGCGCACACCCCCAAAATCATCAAGTTTAAAATATAATATATAAGGTGTATCTAGCTGTTTTCCCGCGACTTGGTTAACATATGGTGTGGACAACTAATTTTTCTTGCTCCAAAAACAGTGTCTGAGAATATTGGTAAATGTGAAATAAAATTAAAGTTATAGATCCTAATTTATATATTATATATTTTTGTATTGTGTAAATATGTAAGAGAACGTAAAGACTTTGCTTGCAAAATGAAGAGATGTTGGCTTATAAGACACTAATCTAGAAATCGTGAGAAGAAACGCATATCATATTACCTATATATCTAGGAACTTCCTAGTCACATAAAGAAAATCAAATTATTATTAAGAATTCGTATTGATATTAATTATTGTATTTTTATCTTACAGTAGTTGCCTTCTCGTAGGGGTAATGCTCTCGCATCGTTGCCCACTGGTCATAGAATAATGGTACTCCTGAGTACTCTTACTGGTTGACATGACATTAGGTGGTCGTCGGCTGAAGGGGTGCGAAGGATATGGTTTGCTAATGAAATACGGTTGAGTAAATACTTGACGTGTAATTTACTATATAACACGTGTAATTTACTGTATAACACAACGTGATCTTGTATTATACACAAAAACCTTCCTTTTGAATCACCCTATCTATGAAAAAAATCAAAATCCGTTACGTAGTTTTAAAGATATAGGGACAGAGAAAGCGACTATGTTTTATACTATGTAGTGAAGTGGTGATAAGTGTAAGTTTGTTTTATACTATGTAGTGAAGTGGTGATAAGTATCCGAGGTCTCTTTGGCTAGGCGTGAACTGTGGTTGGGTTCCGCTTTTTTACCTTCCCCGTTTTTGCCAATCCAGGAGAAACTTCCGCCTGGCTACAACCTCCCCAGACCGGTGTGGAAATCTTTAAATAGCTCCACAGTAAAGCGGTGACGCTTCCCAGTACCCCTGGTTGGACGATAGTGGAAAGCGGACGACGGAATTAAAGTCATGTAATTCCGATGGATATTGAGTGAGCAAAGAATAATATTCAAATATTCTTAAGATTCTTTGGCGTATTAGAGTTAAGGTTGTTCCCATACTTATGTGTGTATTTTGGCACGTTGTTAATGGACTTCATTTTGTTGAGAATACGAAAAGAGTATGCTTGTGAATAAGCATGCTAGTTAATCGCATGCCGTTTTATTTCCCCGTACTAAATTGCAAGTAAGTGTGAATGTGACATAATTGATCTGTTTTGCTCAAAATTAAGTAGTTTGCAGACTAGTTGATCAAGCTCCATGAAGGGCTTCGTTTCGTCGACGGAAAATCTTTCAACGACCTCTCTACTTGTTTGCGATTATATGTTCACGATAGCTTAGTGATGCAACTCAAGCCCTGATTATACTCAAGTCACCTGAGTGAATGTTTTAAACTCGAACTCGAGTCTGTCTGTATGAATGCGAGTTATCGATTCAACTCGGCGCATCGAGTTGATTCTCTTCTCACTAGATGTCATTTCGCTACTCAAATTTATTTGTCTATGCCGCTTATTTTTTATTTTTATATGTATTTTATTAATCATATTATAAAAGGTTTTCACAAATATTACCAGGAAAAAATCTCACTCGAGTTGCATGTTTGCAATTTTTTTACACGAGTAACTCGAAAATTCGAGTGTGCCTCGAGTGAGGTAGTTAAATAGCTCTCGAATCACAAAATACTACACTCCAGTCGAATTACTACGATGCTTGACTTGAGATTACCGAATACAGATCGATTCATTCATACATATACAATTTCACAAAATATATAATTATAACAATTCTGTGTTGGATATCGATTTATGATTTCGAAACGATATTGGAAAATCAGTTATTATTATGCACCGCTAGTAGAAAGAAATACATTTATAAATTAAATCTGTAGGAATCAACGAAAAATCTTATCACCGCGATTCAGGAAAATGGCAACAGTGCAGTTGGCACCATCTGTCGCCACGGTAAATAGTCGTTGTTTACTTATCGTTTTACAGTCTCGATTTAATTAATTTATAATTATGCAAGATTTCATTGATTTTGTTTTTGTCTGTTAATTGAATTGAATTAATTTTAATACAAATTATTTCAAATTTTAATTAATGTGTAAGTGCAATGCCTCTACGAGGTTCATGTTTAGGTAACATAATAGAGTTTTAAGTCCATTTAGTTACCTCATGATGCAATAAATGATATATCATATAAGATTCTTATTGCAGTAGGGAAGTTCTGTAAAATAGTTGTAAGTAATCAAGGAGGTGCAATAAGACTTTAGTAAGCCATAATACAACTTTTTTCTTTTATTTGTAGTTTGATTTTGGCAGTCGTATTATTTATATATTTTATTCCTTTTAGTGCACAGTTAATGTATACAAATCATATATTTTTGGAATCTACTCATCGAGATCTTTAATGTGAAACCCATATTGTTATATTTCATGTTTTTTAAATAGTATCACACATCATAATTATATCCCTTATTTTATAGGAAAAATTTATAAAATAAAGAAGTAACTTTGTAGTTGAGGAACGTACAGTACAGTACGCACAGTTTTACAAACATCGTGATGGTTTGCGACTAATTAATTAAAAAAAAAGATTATAAATAAATGAGATAATTGTGACATTAAGAAATTTTACAATAATTGTAATGCTTTACGAATAAATACGTAACAAAAATAGTTATTATTATTATATTTTACGTAATATATTATTTGTCCTTATCTGTTTCATTGACTGGTAATTGATACTTGTTTTGACACACTCCAGTCCGCATTGGACCCTTATAGAAAAACTTATATGTACTAATAAATTTAAAACATAATTAAATAACCTCTAAGAATGAGAGAAAATAATATATGTATATTATATGTATTTCAACTGGGGTATAATCCCACTATGTAATCCCACCACTTCGTGTTTTTGCTGCAAACGAGTTCAAAACCTCTAAATTATAATTTGGCAAGTTACTTTTATATTCCCGACCATTTTCTGCAAAGCTTTACAGATTTTACGGAAAAATGTACCTTTAAGAAATTCAATCAAATTAGCCTTGAATTACGTCGATTACATGAATGAGATGTATAATGTTCATTGATAAAAACAAATCGGCCATTTTGAGTAAGTTATAAAACTGGATGCGCCTCGTCATGGTCACAAAACGAAATGGGCCAAGGAAAAACTTGGCGCTTGCGCGACGGGATTGATTTTCAGCGGAGTGACGTCACAAGATGTCCGCCAAAAGAGACGCTCCGTCGCTGTAAAATAGCCATTCCCACAGTTTATCCCATGTAGATGTTTAACACAAAGTATATCCGTGACTGAAACCAAATAGTTCCATATCAAATGGTATAGATAATTAAGAGACGCGTTATAAAATCAGTGTCGTCTGTAGCTTAGTAACGAAATGCTTAAACGCTTTCAAGGATACAATCTCTTAACAATGTTCCTGTCGACGGCCGCTGTTACGAAGTTGCTGTGTTTGTGTAAGTTCTTTTTTCTTATTGTATTATGTTAAATAACTTTTAAGGATTCTTATGTGTTGTGTTAAACATCTGTTGAATACTACGTTCGTAATGGTAGGAAAGTCTTCGTCTGATTATGAATGCGATGAATATGATAAATTTCTTTTTGAAGTCCGACGACGCGCCATTATCCTATCCTATTAATATTATAAAGGCGAAAGTTTGTAAGTATGGATGTATGGATGTTTGTTACTCTTTCACGAAAAAACTACTGGACGGATTTGGATAAAACTTTACAGCAATATAGGTTATACATCAGAATAACACATAGGGTACTTTTTACTGGGAAAACTTCTCACTCCCACGGGATACCGACTTCCACGCGGACGAAGTCGCGGGCGTCCACTAGTAAAGTATAATTACATTTGCTATTAATTAAATATGTATCTATTAATTTAAAAGTACATAAGTACTTTAAAAAATACGTTAATAACGAACTATGATATTAAAAAAAAAAACAATAGGCTGTAGATCTGTACTCCTTTACATAAATTGTATCTAAAATGATAAATGAATGAAAAAAGAGTTCATTTTCAGGACCGATTGGCTTCTTTATATAATAAAAGTAAATGTTATAATATAAAAGTAAAAAATATTTCGATATAACCTCTTTTATTGCTTTAAAATATCTGCAATTAAATGGTGTACTAAGTTAAGGCATAAGGCAGTTAATAATCTTGCTTAAATTTTGATTGTGTACATGAAATAAAAAAAATACCCACTACCTATTATAAAAATAATTATTTTGGTGTTCTCTTATAATTTGGAAAGTTCCTTTTAAATAAATATATATTTATTTTTTCAAGGTACAGTACTTATTATCGTGTCTAATCAATTTTCTTTAAATAAATTGAACTGCCTAGCTATTACTACAAAATGTAGATTCATTTATGCATGCAAGTATCAATGATATCATCCGAAGAGCTCTTGCTACGGCGTCAGTGCCAGCCATTCTAGAACCGAACGGGCTGACTCGCGACGACGGTAAGAGACCTGATGGGATGTCTTTGGTACCTTGGAGGATTGGTCGACCCCTAGTATGGGATGCCACCTGCGTTGATACTTTGGCGCCATCTCATCTTCAACGAACATGTCTTGAGGCGGGTGTAGCCGCCGCTGCTTCAGAAAGCCTCAAACGGCGAAAATATTCAGGTATAAGTAATACCTACATATTTGAGCCATTTGGGGTCGAAACATTGGGTCCGTGGGGCCCTGGAGCCCATCGCCTTTATCAAGAGTTAAAAAAGAAACTTTTTGACAGGTCAGGTGATCAGAAGGCTGGTTTGTACCTCGCCCAAAGAATTAGTTTAGCTATTCAAAGAGGAAACGCTCGCAGCCTTCTGGGTACCTTACCTGTAGGCAATGATCTGGAAGACATTTTTTAGTTATTATTTTAAGACATAGTTTAGATAAGTAGTATTAATTTATTAGACCTTTTATCAAATAAATATATTTTAGCTGTACAGTGTTAAAAACCTATATTATAATACTATATGAAAATCAAATATCGATTGGAAAATAATCGATTGTTTGTATTTAACCAACTAAATTCACTTTATGGTAAACAATTATGTATTATATTTTCGATCGATGGCGCAGTGGTTAACATGCTTAGTCAACAATGCGGTTGTTAAGCAACTTTCACAATGGCTGGTCATAAGATGGGTGACCAAAAATTTAATAAATATCTTGAGTTCTTCCCCATTTCGGAAGGCACGTTAAGCCGTAGGAACCGGCTGCATCTGCAGTTGTTAATACCTTTTAATTCACAATAAGCCCTCGTAGTGGGTCACAGCCCATTCTCCCTATTCGATTTCATTCATAGGGAAAGCCTGAGCCTCAAAAGTAGGGACATTAACAGGCTGATGATGGTGATGATTTTGGTATTTTGTGTTCTGTTTCGATTAAAAACTATTTATGTGGATTTTGCTTGAGTTTTTGTATTGCTATTTAAGTTTGGGTTACAATCTTTCACGACTCACGAATAATTCTGGCACTATTTGAAAAGTGTATTTATTCCAAATGGATATTTGGATATTCCAAATGGATATTCCCCTTAAACTGAAGGGGAAGATCTATAAGACCATGGTCAGACCTGCTGTCCTGTATGGATCAGAATGTTGGGCCATAAAAGGGATGAATGAAAGACACCTGCATGCAGCTGAGATGAGAATGTTAAGAGGAATGTGTGGTGTTACGCGAATGGACAGAGTACGAAATGAGTATATTAGAGGAAGTTTGAAAGTGGCACCGGTAACCGAAAAGTTATGTGAAACCGGTTGTCGTGGTATTTGAGTAAATGAAAATGTAATGCGAAAGGAGGAAGAAAATATTGTGAGAAAGGTTTTGAGCATGAACGTGGATGGCTATACAGGAAGAGGAAGACCAAAGAAACGATGGACGGATTGTGTGAAAGACGATATGGTGAGAGAGGAAGTTACTAGTGAGATGACGTCAGATAGGGAGATATGGAAGAAAAAGACATGCTGCGCCGACCCCAAATAAAATTGGGATAAGGGCAGGGGAATGAATGATGATGGATATCTTTTATAAGTTAAAAACTACACAGACATTTTTCAATCCAGACAGGCCCTGTATGGGCTCAATCCCATATTATTACTCTATCTCTTTGGGAATCGATACGCACTTCGGCCACTACGATACCTATATTATAACAAAGAATTGCCGACACTTTACTGATACCGATACGGACCAAGTTATAAATCTAAAAAAAATCTTATCACAATCACAACCATTAACAAATGAAAATTATTATCACCAAAAGCAACTCACATAGCAATGTGAGGTAGAAAAACACATGGGTTATCTGTAGCGCGCAAAGTTAAAAATGTATCGACAAATGAATGTTGCCGATTCTGATATATCGGATAACTCTCAAAATCAAAATCAAAGTCGATATATCAGTATCGGTATTAATGTCTGATGTAATTACATTACCTAAGTCGCGTAGAAATAATCGATTATCCCGTTTCCCAAATAGGAATTTGGGTTAGCCCATTGTTGGGCCATAAACGATTTCAGACGAACTCAAGTGGCTTTAATGATTTCTATGCATCTTCGAATCGAGAAATCTAGATTTCGTAGTAAAAATACACATTTTAACAATTTCACTTTGATCATAATGGTTTCGCTTTTATTACAAAAGACTTATTCTTTTGGCTTATTTTTTTATATCAAGAGAACTCTTTTGTGAAACGGTTTATAGGTATATATAGCTCCTAGTCACAGTGATATCTTCAAAAAATATCGTCATATATGTCAGCAAATTGACGTAAATATATTGTATTATATCTACGTTACACTACATGCAAATCTGTGTAACAGAATTTGAGTTAATCTCGTTTTGACAGACAGACGCGGCTGTAATATTTCGTGAGAATAGTTCGTTTACGATGATACCTTCAGGCCGAGATATAGGTATACGCTTTTTTAACAGAAGCGATAATTTCGTTTGTCACCTTACCTCTATCCCCCTCCACCCCACCCACGTTCCGAGAAGCAAGATTTTATATTATTATATTTTATTTATATTTAGTTAAAAAATACTTTTTTTATCTGTAAGTAGGTATTATATAACGATGATTTTGGCGCCTCCCTGACACTGGTGCCAAGGCAAGTGCTCCCGCTTGCCCCCTCTAGATCCGGCCCTGGATGCCAATATAATGTAACATTTCTTTTATGACACCTACCTACATAATGTTAAACAGCATTAAATGTGTCATTTCCATCTCAAACTAAATAGCCCAAACCTTTGCTAAAGCGCCTTATTTTTATGTGTAATAAAAAGAGGTTAACACATTTTAATCCTTTACGTTATCATTACTCGCCGATAGATGGCGAAATTATTTTTAATAACTTCTATTTTGTATATGTAACATAAATTTAAAATATCAATTTCGAACAGTAGCTTCGTCTAAAAACCTTGGTTTATGGAGATTACTTGTTGCTAGCTATAAACATTGCAGTGTCACGATTATGAAAGGGCTCACATCATATCTAGATTTCCTTTATCCATGTATTGTTTGTAAGATAGATCGAGCATTGTTTCAAATATTACGTTCCCCTCACTATAATTTATCTTGTTTCCGTATTTACGTAGATAGATTTCTGGAAACGTTCCGTGCTATTTTCGTTTTGATTAATGTGTTACAGATAAGAGAAAATATCACAATACTACGTAGTTCTCTTCGTATAATAAGTTTTATCATGTTATATTGTTTCATATGAAACCTTTTTTCATGTTCTACGGACTGCAATGAGGATTTTGTTTAACTAAGGCATAATATAACTTGTTTCTTTTATTTTCAGTTCGATTTTGACAGTCGTGTTTATTTATTTTAATATTTTTGACAGTGAATGAGTCCTTACTGAAATAATATACGAGGGTCAAACTGAAAGTTCTTAGAACTGGCCACTTATAAACAATATAATAAAAAAATAATTCTAAAATTTGAAAATATAACTCTTTGCCAATATTACTGAGTATATATTTCATTCATTTGTCATTTGTTTTACGATTTGGCGGCAAATTGAAAATTGTCTGTGTCACGTCATCATGAATTTAACACGAGAAAATTTTCGTGCAATGATTTTTTATGACTTTCGATGTCATTTAAGTCAACAAGAAAGTTATGATAGACTACGATTGGCCTTTCACGATGAAGCCCCATCTCGTGCGACTGTTTACAACTGGTTTAATGAGTTTAAACGTGGTCGCACTAATCTCACTGATGATTTACGTGAGGGACGGCCTTCTACGGCGACGACTGAAGATAACATCTGTGTTGTGCGGCGTATGATAGAGACTGACAAAAGAGTGACCTATCAACAGATTCGGACAAGCTTAGGCATCGGTATGAGTCAAGTGCACAAAATCCTCCACGAACATTTAGCGGTCAGGAAGCTTTGCGCCCGGTGGATACCTCATAATTTGACTGAGG